TGTGCAGATGCACAGCGCAAGCTTTTCAGCTCTGGCATTTGACTCCACTAGCTTTGCTAGGTGGTTATGCCTCCCGGAGGACAAATAGGTTGTTTATAGCCCGGTCACATGACGTTCCACGTGGGACGCAACGTCACGCGCGGCGTCATGGATGGGGTGTGCGTACGGCTGATACATACAAATCTCCTATCGGCCATGTTACTGTAGGGCAAATCCCCTTACATGCCGATAAGGCTAAATCAGTCCAATTCCCCGGCGAACTTGAGGGTAATGTAGCTCATGAGGACATAAATGCAAAGGGGAATGAACCATAAAAAAAAAAAAATCTGTGGAATATATTACACCAGGAGCCATTCTGCTTCCCATGTTTCCCCTTCCTTCCTCTCTTTTATACATGTATGACCTAGTGACATGAGTCTATCCTAAGGGGCTCTAGATCATGTGAGTGAGACCATATAGACCACTTATTCACACGATTGTCACATTACGTTATTGCACTATTTGTAGTTTTTATTCCTACAGATATACGTACTGTGATACGTCTTTTCCTTTGCAGGTTAAATTGTGTTAACCCATATAGATAGATTGTTGATGGTTGTCTCTCTCTACATGGTAGCTGCTACTCCCCAGTCTCTCACCCAGCATAATAGGAAAAAGCTAAACTAATGGTGTCATCTGCAAAAAGCATTTGCTGCTCATGAGTGTGCATGCCCCAGTAGTGCCCAAAAATTTATGGATCCTTATATTTTTAATTGCACGGTATTAAATCATCTCATGTAGTACAGGAGTATAATAAATAACGCACGGATTTAGTCATCGTCTTATTACTTACATATTAAATCAGCTGCCTCAAATGTAAATATTATTCACTTAAAATGTTTTGTTCTCATGATTATTATTATTTTTATTTTTTTCTAGGAGCTTTCTTTTTGTATGCAGGCTTTGCGGCTGTTGGACTCATATTTATTTATGGCTGCCTACCAGAGACTAAAGGGAAGAAACTAGAGGAAATTGAATCTCTATTTGAAAACAGGCTGTGCACATGTGGTGCCTCTGATACTGATGAGGGGAGGTATATAGAATATATTCGCGTTAAGGGAAGTAATTATCATCTTTCTGACAATGATGCTTCTGATGTGGAATAATTTTCCTCTGCGGATGCATGCTAACCATTTAAAAGCCTTCTGGAGAAGGGCAGCTATAGGTGAACTCAGTTTGCTGCTTCTGGTCTGGTTCCCTTTACAGTTCAAAATGAACTTAGTGAAATAATGTTATTCATCTGGATGAACATATTTAGTGGCTTAAGAGCTAATGAAATGTTAAAGTACAAAACACAGTTTTGTTCTACATATAAAACAATGAGCTTTCTAATTATTAGGACAATCTCCAAATTGTACTTTGTATAAAGCCATGTATATTTTTGTCTTTATTATATTTATGTTAATGCTGGTATATATTCTTGTACCTCCTACATCATAATTTTAAAGATTAAAACTGCAGAATACAAATTATTGTAAACATCCCAAGCAGTTATGCCAAATCTCAGTTATAGTCTTCCTTTATGAATGGCATAAATGGAAATATCACATTGACATTTACATTGATGTGCTCATGATCAAATTGTAAATGATGATTATCTTGCACATTTTTTTTTTTTACTAAATGTGACCGTTTATATCTGATCAATGTTTTCAGAAACCTTTTATAGTATTATTTGATGTTTCACATGGTTGTGTGAAAAAAAAATTGACATTCCCAAAGAAATATATCAATGTAGTGCTCAGCATTGAAATACTCTTCTAGTCTATAGGCTGTAACAAAAATTGTAAAAGCACAATCTGATTTTACTTGTTTTTTCCTTTCACTTTTTCTTGTTTACCTTTTGCAGATCTGTTAAATACTTCTTTGTCTTTAATAGCAATGTACCAGCTCCATATATGCATGGAGTTTACATAGTCATGTCATACAAACTGTTCCTTGCTTTTAAGTGATTGCTCTAGGCCAATGCTCTAATGGAAGTTGGTAATGGACATGGGGAGGGACACCCTTTGCAGCCCATGTAAGAAGTCAAGCCATTCAAAACAGGGGCGGCATCTGGGTTCTCCTGACACCATAAACACTACAGAAAACTGTAGTGGTTATAGTCCCTGCTGTGTTCCTTTAATTCTAAATAGTTTGTTTTGACTTCCATACATCTTCACCTGGCAAACTGGATAATCAATTTAATCATTTTAAAGTGTCGCATAGTGTAGTTAATAAGATTTTATTGTCACCAACAAGACATACATTTTAAAATAATCATCCAAGTACAAAGTAATTCAAACAGACTTTGCGAAAAGCATCGTATACAACATGTACAAGGGAGAAAAAATAAGTATATAAATGAAGAACAGAAAAAAACTGTGGTAATAGTGTAAAGCGTAGCATATAGCATTCTAGTGGGGATAGTCGATATCTCATTAAATATTTTGTTAAAGGTAAGGCCTATTTCTTAAAGGAACACTAGTCACCAGAACCACTGCAGCTTAATGTAGTGGTTCTGGTGTCTATAGTATGTGCCTACAGTCTTAGCACTGTTTACATTGGTGCCTAAGAGCACCTCCAGTGGCAGTCACTCAGGTGGCCACTAGAGGTACTTCCTAGTCCAGTGCTACAAAAGTGCAGCACTGGTGTTAAGCATCTCCGTGCTCTGCATGAGGACACTTAACACTTCCCAAAGGAATGCATTGATTTAATCTATCTCTATGAAGAGCTGCTGATTGATGGCAGCATTTTAACACGCATGTGCAATAGCCTCCAAATGCTTTCCTATGGGAAAGCATTGGTTTGGATGAGATGATCAATATGGACCAGGTGGGGCCAGCCATGGCAAGACCAGCACGGTGTGGGAGAAAAGATGAGTAAAATCATCTTTTTACTGCGATCTGAAGGGGGCCCAGCCACTTAAACAGCTACTTTAGGAATATTGTGTCAGGAATACGCTTGTATTTCTGACACTATAATGTTCATTTAATCATTTTCATGTAGCTATAAAAAGAAAGCTTTAGCCACAAATGATTTAAGTCAATTGTATGTTTAAAAAATAAATAAAAAAAATTATGTAGCACTTATGCTTCTTTTTATTAGCGGCTAGATTAAAATGAGTAAATATAACTGCAAATTCACAGGTTTCCTTTCCCAGCATTGATCAATACTTGTTTATCTATCAGTTGCAAACAAAAGGAAATGTGTTTCACTAATTAGTTGAAAATTTACTGAGTTAGGGACTGTGTCAGGGTGGGATATCATTTTGGTCATTTATAACTAAAAGAGAGGTAACTGTTTAGGCTGTAGATATTGGGTATTGGAATCTTTTTCTTTTCTTTTTTTAATTCTAAAACATGTAGAAGCTGAAAGAACTTAATAACCTCACTGTAACAGTAATCTGTAGTAATTGAACTTGTACTGTCCCTTGAGTAAAAGAAAAAAGTAAGATTACTAAATAAAGATTTAAGTTAGTGTTTATTCATGTGCTATAAAGTATTGTATACTATGGTGATTATAAACCTTCATTAATTATAAAAATAGCAACAACAAAAAACTATTATGTGAGAAAAATAGGCTTAGTTCTGTCATGGGCCCAGAGAATTTTCAGCCTTCTTCCTGCCTACAATTTGCATTTGTTTATTTTGATTGTGAGTAAAATAAAACTTGAAATATATCACCAGATTCAGATGAGTTTGTAAGAAAATAGCAATTCCCAACATACAAATGGTTCAAGAGTATGATTTGTTGTTGGAGGGTTCAAAACTAAGGAGTTATTTACATTTTAAAAAATGAAATAAATTTATAAAAATTACACCTTCCTGGCTCCTTTTTTTCCTCTTGCCCCTTAATGCAATATAAATATCTACGCCCTTTTCTGTCCTTGGATGAATGTAAGCTTATCCCAAATAATAAATAGGTGTAGAATGAAGGTACCTAGCATATGTTTTTTAGTTGGACTGGCAATATGAGTTCTGTTCCCAGAGTTTGTAAAGGATAAATAATTCTATATTTATATTTATTCAATTATTTGGAAAGAGGAAAACGAAAACATCACTACGTAGACAACTGTAGACACTTTGCTTTCAGTGTTACATGTTCTAATTTACACAAATGAGTTATAAAAAGTAAATTAGTGTTGTAATTAATAAATGTATCTGAAATAATGTCAGTGTACACAAGGTCTAGATTTCTAGTTTCCAAAAATGGAGCAGTGAATGCATAATTATAAGTTCCAGTTAATTTTATTCCAAAAGTGATTTTAATGTGAAATGTTCAAAGATATTAGATTTATATAGATTCAACTTATATAACTGCATATCATATTTTTGCCCTTGCCAAAAACTCTCAAACCATTATCACATAAGTATTATTAACTTTGCATTTATGTAGTTTATAGCATACTACAACTGTGTCATTAATTAGTCATTAGCCACAATGTAGGATGCAAGGATTCTCTTATAGATGGAACTATCAGATTGAGTCTTTGAATAACTCGGACTATATATTGTGAGAAAGTTCTAACCAGCATTTTAGTGAATACTGGAGACACAGTAATGCCATGAACCGATATTTGTCAATGTTTAAATAAACATAGTGTCATATGTTTAGTATATATTTATATTTTTGATGTGCATACTTCAGATTCCGATTTTAACAAATGTGCCAAATACAGAGCATACACGTTAATCAAGTATAGAGCATACATGTTAAATCACTTTTCCTCTAAATAATTTATCATACTGTTTAGATGATAACATTGTGTGCTTAGTTTCAGATGATGGTTAAAAGGTCAATATAGTACTTCTTTATCGTAGAACTTTGGTGTTTCGCAGTACAATTTTGATATGTACTCTTTCACAGCCTTTACAATGTTAGTGTGAATATATGTGGGTTTACAGTGCTAAATATATATATATATATATATATATATATATATATATATATATATATATATATATAGTAAATAATACAAAATGGGATGTGACAATTTGATTCATTTTTTTTTCTTCAAAATCAGAGCACACACAAAGTATCCAGAATACAGAATTTTTAGTAATACATAATTAGAGGTGATATGTAAGTAACAACCTTGAGTATTTTGTTTTTGTTGATTTAAATAAAAAATAAATATGGAGCCGATTACTCATGTACCAGGCCAGAAGCAGAAAATTAAATGTTTGTTTTGTGTTATTGCAGGTACTATTTAAAATATCTAACATGTAGCTGCAATCTGTAAAATTTTCTCCTTCATAGAAGTTACAACTTTATGTAATATATATTGTTTCATAATATCATGAATCTTAATAGCCTTGTGTACAGTATTGTAAACATAACTAAGTGAATTAGGTTGTGGCCGTGTTAAAATGTCAGCAGTAAAGTCTGGCTGTATGTTGTTAACAAATACAGTTGTTCTTGTATTACAAGGTAAATTTCTATTTAAAAAACAAAAACAAAAAAAAACACATATACATAGGCATATTAAAATCAAAAGATATATTATTTTGGTTTAGTGTTTCACCTAGAAAAGTTTTATACGGTATGTGCTACAGATAAGCACTGTGATGTTTTGTATAAAAGTGTCAATGGTGTTTGAACTATGAAATTTATTTAACAAATTAGTTAATAAAGAAATTACTGTTCTTATATATATTTGCTTAAATATGTAGTTATTTTTTTTTTTTCCTTCTATTTATGTATATGGGAAAAATGATGTATTTTAACTGTCCATTTAAACTAGTTCTTGTCCTGTTCAATGAAAGGGGAACGTCTACAAGACTAGATAGATATTAGTCTTGTCTTTTGTATGAACAATGAAGTCGCATAATTCAATTCTTTAAACGTCTAACTACAGGCCCTTTTATAATACAACTGTATGTGATATGTGGATGATATTTTGAGTGGTAGCATAATTAGCATACTGTACTGTGTGCACAACAAGCCCTCCCCATATTTCATTCATCTCATTATTTACAATGAATTTTCTCTTATCCTCCAATCAGCAGTCACTCTTGCTTTATAACATAGTCTGCCTTTAGGCGGATAATCTCAAATGGTGACACATGAGAATGATTATACACTGAAATTGATGAACAGCCAGCTGTGGCCCTCCATTAAAGAGGAAGATAGTGGATGACCGTTTATATACCTGTATGGTCTTTTATAGTGTTTCCAATTTTGTCAACTGGAATAATTAGGTTAAATGATTTAATGAAGTTTTAAATGGTCTTTCTCTAAAAAATGTTCTTACTTTAAAAATAAATTATAAAGTGTATAAAAAAGTTTTTCTTTGTAGTTTAGATTACTGTTCTCTCCCCCATTGCAAATAAAGCCAGTAAAAAAAAAAAAATGTACCTGTAGTTCAGCGCTGGGACATTAGCGACACTTGGCTTCATTATGCTGTGCGTGATGACACAAAATGTAAAAACCTTCAAAAATCAAAGATCTTACAGAGAAAATGCCTCTAGTAGCTGTGTGTCTGAGACGTTTAAGGCAAAATGTAAACATAGCAGTTCCTCTGAAACTGCAAAGGTTTGCTTTGCCAGATAAAAGGAGCAGCATCGATGCACCAAAACCACTGCATTAAGATGAAATAGTTTTGGTTTCAAAGATTGCCTTTAAGGATGTCCAGACAAACTGAAACACCATATCAGTAGGACACATATTTAGTATTAAGATGTTTTCTGTAGCATTTTTTTTTTATTTGGTCATACGACTCTGTAAAGCTTTTTTTTTTTCTTTACAGCTTTAATATGCTAAGGTAAAAAATATATAATTATATACATATAGAGTGGATTAACAGAAGCATTTGATACTATAGCTGCAACAGGCCCTGTTTTCCTTTGGTGATGTAGGGAAAGAAGAATGGCATTTTCAGTGGCACAGAGTAGTTGTAATCCAGAATCTTGTTGCCAAAACTGTAGAAGGCTTTTTTTTGCCATCAATAGCATTGGGTATACTTGTTCATCTTTACTGGATCACTAAGGTTTGCAGATCACACAATTATTTGAGTAAAATCTATAGGTAGCAGGCGTAGGATAGAAGTGTTGTTACACACACACTTAGAGAGACACTATAGGCACCAAAACAACTTCAGCTTAATAAAGCAGTGTTGGTGTATAATCATGCCCCTACAGTCTCACTGCTCAATTCTTTACCATTTAGGTGTTAAATCACTACCCTCCCTGCATGTGACATGTACAGCCTTCTTAAACACTTCCTATAAAGAGTCATCTAATGTTTAAACTACCTTTATTACACATTCTGATTAATTAAGAATTTGTTATTTCCTGCTCAAGCCTTTTAAACCCTGGAGGAGCCTTTTGTGATTGATTAATGTTCAATTTAAAGCGCAGGAAAACCTTTCAAAGCAAGTTAACATTTGATTGAAAATGAAACTATTTGTTTTATTGCAAGCTGTGTGAACCACAGCCAGGGAAGTTGTGGTTAGGGCAGCATAAACAGAAACAAAAGTGATTTAACTCCTAAATGACATAGATTTGTGCAGTGAGACTGCAGGTACATGATCTATACACTAAAACTGCTTCATTAAGCTAAAGTTGTTTTGAATTCACGTGTTTTCCATTAAAGGACACCCCAATCACTATAATCAGTTTAAAGTAAGTTTATCGTGGTAACTTAATTTCTAAATACTTCAGATAGTTTCCCTTTTAGCTAGATATCTGGTGTTGGCAGCACTCCATCCCTACCCTTCCTACTGATGTAATTTGTGAAAATATTATATGCCCATTCAGTCTTTTATGACCTATGCCAGGCATCGGCAACCTTTGGCACCCCAGATATTTTGGACTATACCTCCCATTATGCTTTACCAGCATTATGGGTGTAAGAGCATTATGTGGGGATGTAGTCCACATCATCTGGAGTGCCGAAGGTTGCTTATCCCTGACCTATGCTGTGAGCTCTTGCTATGTAGTTCTTGCAGGTTCAGGAACTGACTGGCACAGCTTAAGCAGGCTGTTCCTACTAATTCCATACAGGTACTTTGATTGCTCAGTAGGGACACAATGCTTCCTTTAATCACATAAGGAACTGGAATCTGGGTGCTGGATACATAAAATTAAATAAAATGTAATGCGATTATATGGTAAATTTGTTGGAACCCCATCCAACCAATAGAGACAATGCTGTAAGCCACTGTCAAAATCTCAAGTCATAACCTGTTAGTAAGGCCTAAAACTTTTTCAACACCACAAATAATGCGTGTACGTCATATTAGTTATCTCCTAGCACTACCATATCCGTCCAGTGACCCACCTCTACTCTTGTGAATAGTTATTCTGTCTCCTCTCTCTGACGGATCATCTCTTAAGCTCTCTTCCATCATATATTTATTCCATTTCACTGCCCTTAGTCCTTTCCTAAGTGAGAGAACATTTTGAGCCCTGTAGCTGTAATGGTTATGGTGCTTGGAGGTGTTTTTTGTTTTTGTTTGTTTTTTTACTTTTCCTTTCACCTAACATCTTTGTATTATTTGTGGAGGCATGTTTAGGACCACATCTTTTCACTTAAAACAGCATTATTTGTTATGGTCTCATGAACATAGTTGTCAGGTAATCTCTGTAGTAACAATGATAACATGTTACCTGTCCATTGCAGATTCTACTGTATTAATTGCAGATATTAGTTGGGAAACATGGGTATATAATCCTCTTGTCCAGTGTTTAAAAGTTGAAAATATTGTAATCATTGAACCAATGAGCCTTTGGTAATAACAATGATAAAGAAAGTAATGTTCTTGGTTATAATGCATTTATTAAATTGCCAGTACTGTCTTTTTTTGTATTCTTGATAGAACAGATTGCATAGTTTCAGTCAAATCATATTTCCTAAATCGGCAGGGCGTGCTTAAGAATTACATGATGTATGCAGTATACCTGAAGGATCAACACACTGTTGTGTAAATATTTATAGCACAAACATGTAAAATTTTTCCATTGTGTCTTCTATTATTCAGTTCCTAACCTTAGTAATGTAAAGATTTTATGGTGATATTTGGGTGGGAAAGAAAAATGACACTCATTTGAATGTGTATTTTATGAAATATTTCAGAAAAAATGTTTTTCCATTCTGTTTAGAAGCTTTATGCCATAACACTAGCTATCGACTATTTATTTTAAATAGTCAGGTACCTGTTGTATCTAACTCTGTAAATACTTGATAGCTTGTGACATTTATTTTTGTTAGTGTATCACATATATATCCTTAATTTCATTACTGTTTATATGTAATTTTTACGCTTCATCATGTCTATTTTTTTAAATAAAATGTATCAAATAATTCTGAGTGCATTGCTCTCTTCAAGTTCATCAAAAATGTTTACATATATAAGACAATAAAGGAAATTAATATTCTTAATTGATCGTTTGACTATTTACATTTAATTGTTCTAAGCATTATGTTTAATAGAATAATAGATAAACATGGGAACCTGTCTTGTTATAGATTGCTTCCTGCAGATTATGAGTAATAAGTACAATAGGACAGCACTTAATTAATATGTATCCAGGAAAACATGGTGGATCTGGCAACACTACCCTGCAGCTCATCTCTTTAACACTTACAAATGTTTTATCCTCGAGCTATAATGGTTGAGGAAGATAAACCTCTCCACAGATATTCAGGATGCTTGCATGGTCCCAACCAGCATGTTAAAGTTTCTTAGTGGTATATGTTGCTTACCATGATTTTTAATTTTATGTTTAAAGTGTAAAAAAATGAAATTAACAGGGTTATTGAGAATTTAAGATCAGTATAGCCAAAGATCTCTAAATCAGCTATGCTTTCAGTTTGGCTACTTTGGCCTTAAAGGTAAAATTCACAGTGAAATAGTATATTTGCAGTCACCCAAGGTGGGTGATTGCGAGGACATGCACATCAATGACCTATAATGCACAGTCTGCCAGGGATCTTCCATTGCAAGTGGTGCACATCTCAATTACTGCAATAATTACATGTATTTGTAATTATTGGATAGTCTCACAAAAGAAATTGCTTATGAAATGGCCTAGTAAAAAGTCACAATGCCACATATTAAATCTTCTAAATGGTCTTTTTTTGTGTGTGCAAATATTAAGATGGTAAAGCTCAGTGGTGAGATCTATTTTATCCAAAAACTACATGGTCCCTGTAAATCACCTGGTGAAAATGGGAAATTTTTTAAAACTGATGTAACTTGTCAAAAGAAATGGCAAAGGTCTGCAAGGGAGGTATTACTGCATTAATTGGATGCACACTTTCTAACTTATTTATGTCCATACCTTAGAGTCCTGTGTCATCACGCATAAACTAATATAATAAGACATCAGAAGCAGAAGTGCAGAAGCTAGGCCCCCTAAATAATAACACTTTTGCTGACTTCTCCCTTCTGGGTTATACAGAAGATTTAATGTTGATGCCTGCATTGCATTAGATTCTTGATGGTTTCAGTGGGGGTGTTGTACTATAAGATCAAGATGACCAAGACCATATCTTTCTGACAGTTTGACTTCTCTATTACTTTCCCAGTATAAATGTGAATGGTGAACTTTATAAACACAGTATTTTCACAATTCTGTTTACTAAGAAGAATTGTTTCATACCTTAAAGGATCACTATAGGGTCAGGAACACAAACATGTATTCCTGACCCTATAGTGTTAAAACCACCATCTAGCCCCCCCCATGGTCCTTCATGCCTCCATAAATCTAGCAAAACCGTACTGTATTCAAGCCTGAAGCTGTAACTCTGCATGTGGTTTGCCTCAGAAAAACAAGCAGTCTGCTGACATTATCAGAAGTGGTAGCCTGATCCAATCACAGTGCTTCCCCATAGGGTTGGCTGAGACTGATAAAGAGGCAGATCAGGGGCAGAGCCAGCACAATTCAAACACAGCCCTGGCCAATCAGCATCTCCTCATAGAGATGAATTGAATCAATGAATCTCTATGAGGAAAGTTCAGTGTCTGCATGTTGAGGGTGGAGGCACTGAATGTTTGGATGCATTTTAGGCAGCCATGACCCAGGAAGGATCTCTAACAGCCATCTAAGGAGTGGCCAGTGAAGTTATCACCAGGCTGTAATGTAAACACTGCATTTCCTCTGAAAAGACTGTGCTTACAGCAAAAAGCCTGAAGGAAATAATTTTTTTGCACTTTTCACACACAAATATAAACGCTAACTTTGGCCAGTGTTTGTGACTAAGTGGCTACTAAAATAACTCTGCACGTCACTCCTCCCAGCTAACACAGAGACCGCATGGGAGGAAGGAGTCAGTGGGAGCTCTGACTCCCATCCACCTGAGCCACCACTGGACCCCAGGGAATGTCACCCTCCTGCACCTAAAAGGTAGGAAACAGGAGGGTGACTAAAATATTTTGTGTGTGTTTGTGTATTTGTATGTATGTCTTGGACATAAGTTCGCCCCCATTTTTTTATTTAGTGTCCCCACCCGCCACTCATGGGTGGGGACCTAGGAAGGACATTAGGTCACCCCCAATTATTTATTTATTGTCCCCATCCGCTGGTCATGGGTGGGATCCAGGGGTGACATTAGGTCCCCCCTTTAATTAATTAGGGTCCGCACCCGCCGCTCATGTGTGGGGTCCTTAGGTCACCCCTATTATTTATTCATTTAGGGTCCCCACCCGCCGCTCATTGCATTCTTGCTGGATATTTTGTAAATATGTTGCACTGTGATAAAACCCCCAAATTATGCTCAGCTGCATCTTCTGAGTACAACAATACCCCCGTTATTACTATTATTTTTTATAATTGTGTTTTAATGGTCCCCCATTATTTTGAAAAGCAATATAACAGACTGAATTTTAAAAGATGAGTTTAATTAGGCTATGTTTTTTGTTGGAGCATTCAAGTAGTTTCCTATTTTAAACGACCCCTCAAAGGCCAATCAGAACATATTCAGCTTGAGCTCTGCTTGCAATAGCATCTAATTAAGCTTATAAGTGCTAATATTTTGGTAACAATGACCACAAACACTGCCTCTTATTCCTGTAATCATGGGGAAACGACAGAGAAAATGCAATAACTGAGGATTTATTGTTCAGTGGAGCATCACGGGGTGCATCTAAGATAGCTGATTTAGCCGCAGAGTCAACCCAGACTCGAAAAGTTGCTGCAATAATAAAGCAGAGTTAATCCAGCATGATAGCGCCCCAACGCTCCACTTCTCCAGGCCCTGGAGCAAGAACCAGCACCCAATGCTCACTGACCTTTCTAATCTTGGTGATAAAGGTCATGGTCCCAGGAGGGCCTCAAGCAGCAGAAATCCTATCGAGGTTGTGAATGGTGCTCAATGTGGGCACCCATCTTGATTCTCTGCTCAGAGGGAGAATAATAGGCAGCAATATCATCAGTTTCCGGCAAAACCGCAGTTGAGAAGCCAGAATTGTTCAAAAATGAATGGCATCAAATGACAATGTTAATGTAGCTTCCCACCTCTGCAATGTGTCTTGTGTGGTGCACTGTGGTTGGAGAGGAGGCCATGTTGGAGTGCAATGTGCCCTAGTCAAAAAAGCATTAAACAGTGCTTCTTTAGTTGGGACTGGGATAAATTCCACTGGTCCAAAGGAACAGCCTCATGGCACTAACCTTTAAACCAGGAGATCAGCCTCTTAACTTGTACCCAGCCGGACTAGGCCATACACGCAAGGTATACAGTCCCCACTCAAATGGCCACAATACTGCACAACTTCGCTCACTGGGAGGGACTGGATGCTTTTTCAGTGTGTCCGCATCAGGCAGAATGCAATGTCTTAGGTGAGAGAAGTTAATAAATGATAAATTGGCGATGGAGCTTCGTAGCTACATCAGGGTGCATCAGCTTGGCAGTCAGGGCCTTTTTGACACACACGGTCATGCTCACTCACATTTCTGGCGGTGTTCCTGCTTCCAGTCTCCACTCCAGTAATTCCAACACCAGCAGCTGTAGCTCTGCCCTCTTATGATGTGTCGCGCGAACGCAGACATCATGGTGCTAATGATGTCCGCATGTTGTGTGCATGCCGATGTTATGACGCTAATGATGTCACAGCCCGCCAATACGTTCAAACTTGGACGTTTTGGGGATGTGTTTATGTGTCTGAGTTTGTGTGTGTCTGTCTGCAAATGTGTTTGTGTGTGTGGGTTTGTGAGTTTGTGTGAGCGTCTGTCTCTGTGTTTGTCTGTTTAGTGAGTGTCTGTTTAGGTGACCGGTCCCCCTCTGATTACGTGGAAAAGGTGATTTTAATTACCTGTTTTTCCACACCGTGACATTCTCGCCGTGGCTGAATCCACCTCCATGGCTGAGATAATCAAACTTGTTGATCTAAGCCAACCAATGCGTTCCCATAGGAAAGCAGTGGGAGGCTATTGTGCATGCACTAATCTGCATCTCCTCAAAGAGATGCATTGAACTAGCGCCGAGCGTGGTTTGAGTGACAGCCACTAGAGTTGTTACTAAGCAGCAATGTAAACAGTCTTTTCTCTGAAAAGGCAGTGTTTGCATTGAAAAGCCTGAAGGGACAAGCTATAGACATCAGAACCACTATGTTAAGCTTTAGTGGTTTTGGTGAGTATAGTGTCCCTTTAAGAATTCTAATTTTGTAGATGAAAATGAAGCTTTGTTAATTAAAAAAAAAATACTGGTTCCTAACTTTTTTAGCTGGCTCCTAGATTCCAAGCAAATTTGTCAAGCCCTGTTTTGAACAACATATTATCAAAAATAAAAAACAGGATCAATATGTGTGTTTAATAAACAAGCATCATTGACAAGATCATGAAATGCATTCCATTTTAGTACATACAGTGGCTGTTTAAAAGTTATCACATCCTCTGGCACCTAAAGGGTTAAAACGTTAGATTCTTAAAGCTGTGAAACAAATTAAAGAACAATAGGGTATAATAGCAAATGTAAAACAGAATTATTATATAAAAATATAAATGTTTATATTTCTAGAAATAAGCGTTCAATCCCAATTACGAGTATAACTGTAGATGTATAACTATATCTGAGCTAAAAACAAACATGTTATCGGGTATTCAACAAAATGTTTTAGTAATAAGGATTTAAATACCATATGTAGTCATCATTGTTTAATTATACCTTTATGTCTATAACTAAGGTAAATAACAAGTCTGTACAATATACATTTACTGTGCCGCTGTTGTCTTTTTGGTACAATTTAATAATCTGTCATGTGGATTTTCTGCCCTCTAGTGTTACAAATAAAAAACTTTGTTTGACTTGCATACAAATGCTCAATTATTAGGAATTGAAGAAAGTTCTACATAATTGTAGCCCAAACCAATATTACACTGCACAGTCATATGACATTTTTCTGCAGCATGCACAGTGTCAGTTTGAGACCAAGCATCTTGTTTTTCGTTGATATTCATTGAATGAATAGAAGAAACTTTTGTACAATTGCAGCATTCCAAAACAAAGTTACATTGTACAGACATATGACATTTTTCTCCTGCATGTACTGAGTCTGTTTGAGACCAATTATCTTGTTTTTCACGGTTATTACATTGGATTTCATTTTCACAATCATTCAAACATGGTGAACCATACTGCAGAGAAAGTTGCCTTAACATTTGGTTCTGCACCACTGAAATGCTATTCAGAGACATTGCACTACACTCATCATGTTTACAATTTGCATCAACAGTATTTTCTAATGCAGGAGTAATTTCAGATAATCTTTCCATTCTGAAGGATTTAGTACCAAAGTTGCCATTTCTTGGAGTATTTGTATTTTCAAAGTCTTCATCGTCTGACAGCTGTAATAGATTTTTAGGAAAACATTATTAAAGCATGAAACAATATCTCTTACACTTTATTCCAACTAATAACAAAACTGTGTTGAAAGACTAATGATGTAACAAAATCAAACTAATCACAGTCATTGCACTATACGAGAAGTGTTCACAGGAAAAATTCACAGGAAAATAGCACTAGTGTTTACTGATAATGTGAAAGAAGACATTAGCAGCTGGATGAATTCTGAAGTGTATAGCGATAATTTGTCTGTTCAGATTCAGCCAAATTCAGAAAAATTTGATTGGACTACACTTCACTTTGCAGATGGACAAAGACCCAAAACATACTGTGAAAGCATCCCAGGAATCTTTTTTTTAAGAAAAAGAAATGAAATACAAAGATACACACAGTGAAAACATGCAGATGCATAGATGCCAAGACGCACTGATAGAAACAATGACGCACATGCAGACACAGATACAATGACACACAGTTGTACAGGCACACTGACACACATACAGATACACACAATGACACACACAGAGTTGTACAGACACACTGACACACATGCATATGCAAAGACACACAAATACAATTACATACACACAGATACACATGCAGATACAAACACTGAAACATACAGATACAAAAACGAACACACATGCAGATACAAAGATACACACTGAAACATATGCAGATACACAGACACGCACACTGACACATGCAGATACAAAGACACAGATACAAACACTGACACGCATGCAGATGGGCAGACACAGATACAAACACTCACATACCTATACAGACATAAAATCACACAAAGACACACCATTACAATCAATGAGAGATGTGGATGCACGCACACAAAGATACAAACCCTGACACACATGCAGATACAAAGATACAAACAATGACACATGCACAGATACAGACATACAGATATACTGAAACATACAGTGACACATATGCAGATACAAACACTGACACACATAAAGATGCACAGACACACAAATAGAAACAGTGACACACGTTCAGTGGTACAGACACCAATACATACACACACTGATACATATAAACAGACACAATTACATACACATAGATTCAGACATACACACAGACACACATGCAGATATGGACACATAGATGCACACACAGATATACAGATACAGACACCCAAAAACACACATACAGGTCAAACTTTTAGCCACCCTCCAGTTTCCTACCTTTTGCGTGGCTTCTGCTGGCTGGGGCACACATGGCCGGCCCGGGAGGCATGCTACGTTCCCAGTCAACCCCACTCATGGCTAGAACTCCCTCCTCAGGCATGGCTGAGCCATGTCAGGTGGAAACAAATGACAGATTCTCCCAGCTCACTGCAAATAAGAATGGGCTTGGTCACGCTATTAAAGGAGCACTGTAGGATCAGGAACACAAACATGTATTCCTGACCCTCTAGGGTTAAAACCACCATCTAGCCCCACTGCCTCCCTAAATATGGTAAAATCCTACTTGTATTCAAGTCTGCAGCTGCTTACTTTGTCCCAGTTTCCTTTAGACCTGCCCACTGCCTGCTGACATCAGCAGAAGTGGTAGCCTGATCCAATCACAATGCTTCCCCATTGGATTAGCTGAGACTGACAAAAAATGCAGATCAGAGGCAGAGCCAGCACAATTAAAACACAGCATGGCCAATCTGCATCTCGTCATAGAGATGAATTGAATCAATGAATCTCTATTTGGGAAAGTTCAGTGTCTGCATGCAGAGAGAGGAGACACTGAATGTTGTGATGCATTTTAGGCAGCAATCACCCTATGGTTCCCAATTTGTGCAGTGCAGCTGCACTTTCAGAACCATCATTGCTGAATAATTTTTGCATACCCCTGGGGAACGCGTACCACGGGTTGGGAATCACTGAAGTAGCAAAATGGAGCACTTCCACTTTGTGGCACAGCCTCAAGATTTTTTTCAAAGTATTGCCTTAATTAATCAAAATCTCCCTTATTTTTTAGAGCCACATTATTCTATACTTCTTTTAAAAATGCCAAGCCTATTCATAAGGCATATGCATTTTCTATTACTTTATTCCTCACCTCTGCCATATACAATATTACACTATTTTGTCCCTATTTTGTTATTCAAAATGGGATATTTGTATCTGAGAAATAATTAACTTTGTTTTTCCTGTTTTACATGACCCTTGAAACCTCTATACACCTCTCCTTTTTATATATTTTATATATTAAAGGCTCAAAGGTCAATCATACAGATGTGTACTCTAAGATGTGTTACATATTGATCACAAATTAATGAGGACAGCCCCCCTATTGATTTGTTTAACACTTATTTAATAAAGGAGAAATCCTCCAGGCAGGGCCGGCCTTAGGGGTGTGCGAGCCATGGGAGCAGGGGGCGCCATACGGCCGACACAGCTCACACATGGCCAGCCCGGGATTATAAAAAAAACAAAAAAACAATATTGCGGCGGGGCAGAGATTTCTGTGCAGCAGAGGTGGGGCTAAACTGACGGCGGGGGCAGAGCTAAAGTGCCGGGTAACTGATGCAGGGGAAGCAGGAAGGAGTCCCTACTTCCCCAACAACCACTCCACCATAATGAACAGAGGTAACTATGTGTGATTGTCTGCCTGTGTGAGTGTGTGTGGCTGTGTGACTGTCTGCCTCTGTGTTTGTGTGTGTGTGTGACTGTCTGAGTGTGACTGTCTGCCTGTGTGTGTGTGACTGCCTGTGTGCGTGTGACTGTCTGCCTATGTGTGTGTGGCTGTCTGCCTCTGTGTGTGTGGATGTCTTCCTGTGTTTGTATGGCTGTCTGCCTCTGTGTGTATGGCTGTCCGCCTCTGTGTGTGTGGCTGTCTGCTTGTGTGTATGTGTGTGGCTGTCTGTGTGTGACTGCCCGTGTGTGTGTGGCTGTCTGCCTGTGTATATGTGTGTGGCTGTCTGCCTGTGTGTGTGCATGTAAGTATGTGTGTGTAAGACTGTATGTGTGGCTGTATGTATTTTATGATCTGCCTGTACCTGTGTGCAGTGGTGTATCCTGGTTTTGTGCTGCCCTAGGCCGGTCGTGCTTGGCGGGCGGCTGGTGAGGGAGCTCTTCCTCTGAGCACTCTGTTCAGCTCCCTCGTGCGCCAGAGTGAGGCTGGGAGCCGGAAGATGATGTCATATTCCGGCTCCCAGCCTCACTGTGCGGCACGCGAGGGAGCTGAGCAGTCAGCTCAGAGGAAGTGCTCCCTCGCCAGCCGCCTGCCCGCCCGGGATGTCTGTTAGCCGCAAGGCTAACAAGGCATTTGCCCTGGGCATTTGGGGGCGGCGTTTTTTGCCGCCCCCTGAAAAATGCCGCCCAAGGCAAATGCCTTGTTTGCCTCGCGGCTAATACGCCCCTGCCTGTGTGTGTGAGACTGTCTGCCTGTAATTGTGTGTGAGTGTGTTTATCTGCCTGATTCTGTGTATGTGACTATCTGACTGCGACTGTGTGCATGTGGTGGATTTGACAGTATATATATATATATATATATCTGTGTGCATCTGACTGTGGGACTGTGTGCACATAACTCTACAAAAATATACACCTGCATTCACACATAGGCCTAAATGAATATTTTTATCTGAATTAAATACCCATCACACACAGCCAATAAACCCACCACAAATATCACATACAACCAATACACGCATTTCACACACAGTTAATACACCCATTACAAATATCACACACAGCCAACACATAGCATACATATCACACACAGTCATCACACCTATCACATAGACAGACAACACAAACATTACATCATATTATAGTGAGATGTATTACAGTGGAGATCTGGTATATAAAATGCACATTACTCTGTTTTATAGTTAGGGAGCTCGGTAATACACTAATAGACACATTACTTAGAGTTGTATTGTGTAGTGTATGATCTTGTCACAGAGCTCCACATTACTGGGAGTTTTATTATTGTGGAGCTCTGTGATAAATGGAGAAGTAGCGCATTACTACTAATTTTTATTCCAAAGAGGTGAAGGTAAATAAGTATAACCCAGAGCTCCAAAGCAAAACCACTCACAGTATTATGTGATATACTTAGTCTGCTCCTCTGTAATGTAGGGGAGGTAGTCTGGCACTTCTGGCCTGCACTTCTGTTGGCTGCAGACCCTAAGCAGCTGTCTTCCTAGCTCGGGATAATCAGAGCGCTGCCGCAGATTACCACAGGCCACTACAACTATGCCCCTCTCCCAACTAGGTAACAACAGGAAAGAAGGAATGAATATTTGTTTTTAAATCATTATTAATTTAAAGGGACACTATAGTCACCAGAACAACTTTAGCTTATTGAATTTGTTCTGGTGAGTAGAATCATTACCGTCAGGCTTTTTGCTGTAAACACTGTCTTTTCAGAAAAAATGCAGTGTTTACATTACAGTCTAGTGATAACTTCACTGGCTACTCCTTAGATGGCTGTTAGAGATCCTTCCTGGGTCATGGCTGCCTAAAATGCATCCAAACATTCAGTATCTCCTCCCTCTGCATGCAGACACTGAACTTTCCTCATAGAGATTCATTGATTCAATTCATCTCTATGAGGAGATGCTGATTGGCCAGGGCTGTGTTTGAATCTTCCTGGCTCTGCCCCTGATCTGCCTCTTTGTCAGTCTCAGCCAATCCTATGGGGAAGCATTGTGATTGGATCAGGCCACCACTTCTGCTGATGTCAGCAGGCAGTGGAAAGGTCTAAAGGAAACAGGGACAAAGTAAGCAGCTCCAGGCCTAAATACAAGTAAGATTTTACTATATTTAGGGAGGCATGAGGGGACCAGCGGGGGCTAGATAGTGGTTTTAACCCTATAGGAATACATGTTTGTGCTCCTGACCCTATAGTGCTCCTTCAAGCCCTTATACAATCACTACACTCCTATACACACACACTACACATGGATGATGAGGGGGGAGGAGGGGTGCACTGTGAAGATTTTTTGCACAGGGCGCCTAAAGGCCTAAGGCCCTTACTCCAGGTCACTGAAGCCCCATTAGCCTTCCATCAACTGGAACATTCACTCAGTTCACAATACTATACCTACAGGTTGAAGCCTGTGAACTTAGGGAAATCAAATCTTTATTCTAAACAAGGAAAACAAAATTACTAAAGCCTCAAATATTGACAATAACCTACATTACTACAAAACAATAGTGATTATAAATACAATGATTGGAGAAAAATATATTTGTTAACACATTATTAAAACCACATTCTTATTTTCTATATCTGTCTTTCTAACAGTCCATCTATTCCTCTATTTTTTACAATAATAATTGTAGACAGAATTACCTTTTTAAAAATGGAATCTTCTTTAATACAAAGAGATTTCTTTCCAGGAACAGAGTTACTAAAATATAACAAACAACTACGATGTAAAAAATACAAATCAAAATGTGAATTATATGCTCATCACCAATTTTATATATTTGAATTGTACTAATTACACAAAAAGTAGTTCATTTATTTTAGTAGTGCAACGTAAAAGGGGAAACTAATATATGAGATAAATGCATTACATGCAAAGCAAGATAGTGCAAGCCGTGATTTGTCATAAGTGCAATGATTATGGCTTACAGCTCATGAAAACCCCAAATCCACAATCTCAGTAAATTAGAATATTACATGCAATCAACAAAACAATATCGGACCTCCGAAAAGTATAAGCATGCATATGGACTCAGTACTTGGTTTGGGCCCCTTTTGCAGCAATTACTGCCTCAATGCGGTGTGGCATGGAAGCTATCAGCCTGTGGCACTGCTGAGGTGTTATGGAAGACCAGGATGCTTCAATAGCGGCCTTCAGCTCTTCTGCATTGTTTGGTCTCATGTCTCTCATCTTTCTCTTGGCAATGCCCCATAGAGTTTGCTGGCCAGTCAAGCACAGTAATCCCATGGTCATTAAACCAGGCTGACTTTGGTGCTTTTGGCAGTGTGGGCTGGAAAATGAAGTCAGCATCCCCATAAAGCTCTTTTGCGGAAGGAAGCATGAAGTGCTCCAAAATCTCCTGGTAGATGGCTGCGTTGACCCTGGACTTAATGAAGCACAGTGGACCAACACCAGCAGATGACATGGCTCCCCAAATCAACACAGACTGTGGAAACTTCACACTGGACTTCAAGCATCTTGCAGTGTGTGCCTCTCCATTCTTCCTCCAGACTCTGGGTCCTTGGTTTCCAAATGAGATGCAAAAGTAGCTCTCATCAGAAAAGAGGACTTTGGAACACTGAGCAACAGACCAGGTCTGTTTTTGTTTAGCCCAGGTAAGACGCTTTTGACGTTGTTTGTTGTTCAGGAGCGGCTCGACAAGAGGAATACGACATCTGAAGCCCGTGTCCAGGATCCGTCTGTGTGTGGTGGCTCTTGATGCACTGACTCCAGCCTCAGTCCACTCCTTGTGAAAGTCCCCAACACTTTTGAATGGTCTTTTCCTGACAATCTTCTGCAGGCTGCGGTCATCCCTGCTGCTTGTGCACTTTTTTCTTCCACACTTTTCCCTTCCACATAACTTTCTATTAATGTGCTTTGTTACTTCACTTTGGGAACATCCAACTTCCTTCGCAATTACCTTTTAAAGGCTTTCCCTCCTTATGGAGGGTGTCAATGATGGTTTTCTGCACAACTTTCAGGTCAGCAGTCTTCCTCATGATTGTGATTCCTACTGAACCAGACTGAGAGACCATTTAAAGGCTCAGAAACCCTTTGCAGGTGTTATAGCTTACTTAGCTGATTAGAGTGGGACACTGTGAGCCTAGAATATTGCACCTTTTCACAATATTCTAATTTACTGAGATTGTGGATTTGGGATTTTCATGAGCTGTAAACCATAATCATCGCACTTATGACAAATCACGGCTTGAACTATCTTGCTCTGTATGTAATGCGTCTATCTCATATTCTAGTTTCCCATTTTTACGTTGCATTTCTGAAATAAATGAACTTTTGCACGATATTCAAATTTTTCGAGTATCACCTGTAACTATCAATAATCCATACTGAATTGTGCAACTGGCTGTGCTAGCCAAGAACAAACAAACATGAAATAAAAAGCATTTTTAAAATTATAACATATACCTGCATGGAAATTAAGAGAGAAAGATAAGCAAAAACTACATTTATGTTTGCAAAAAAATGTATTTACAGACTGCAATAATCCATCACTTGTAGCATATTATTTCTGCCATCCGTAGCATTACAACAGGTCATAAAAACCCTTGCAGACACTTTCTCCTTTCTGCTTGACTACAGAAAATTCTCCAAATCATCTGGGTACGTGTAAAATCACCAGATACCAGCACCAAACAGAGATAAAACACCATGCCATGTAAGCTCATGATCACAATGACAAAAATATATTTAATGGCAAGTATAAATTTAATTTTATAACACGACAGGAGCCTTCGTAAGTCTCTCTTTACTAGAACTCCACAGCAGCACAGAAAAACAACCAATCAGAAAAAAAGTTAGGTACTATAAAACTCCCCTCCCCAGGCATCATTTCCTCTTTCTTTGCTGCTCTGCAGTCAGTACAGGTCAGAGTACCACTGCCTCCTGCTTTTAGTGGGTGGCTTTGGGTTTTATTATGATTTATTTATGATTTATATTAATTATGCTTAGTTTTTTAAGATTACTGTGCCTTTTGGCTCTTCTTTGCTTCCACATTATTCATAACTTGAAAAGTATGCATCACATTCACATAAAACTTACATTTTCAGAATCAGTATACTCCAAATAATAATACAAACATATGTCAAAATCACCCAAATTGGTCAATTGGTTCAAAAGATAGATCGAAGTCCTTTGTGACCAAATGAAGCATGGCTTTTCTGCCCAAAACCAGTTCCACAGAGTCTTCTATCCTGGAGATAATTGGGAAGTAATCCAATTATCTCCAAGGACAGAGGCAAAACTCCATTGAACACATGGCAGCAAAAGACAATAAAACACATAAAAATATATAACTGTGCAGCCGTTGCACAAAACAGGTACATTTAACATATCCCCAGATAGCTCAAATCTGAGCGCACATTATTACTGAATGGCGCTGAGAGCACACACATACAGTTCAGTTGCCATGGAGCCAAAATCTTTCCCATAGTCTTTCATTATACGAATGGGCTCCATGGCATAGCTATCTGGGGTATCACCGCTCAAACAGGGCAAGCACCGAATGACCCGGCTTTCATGTCTATGCAGGGGAAAATCAAGTGTTTCAACATGGGGCCATAGTCTAAAGGCAGCAGGCGGGCAACCAGGCTCCTCCAATGCACAGTGGCGAGATTGGTCTCGTTACAGGTATATATGAAAGTCTATTATACAGGCTCTGTACAGGGTGTATACAGAACCAGTTGGCTAGTTCGCTCTAGGATTGATGTGCCTCACAGTGTATATATTCCGGTCCAGCTATGGAGTCTCAGATGAGACTATTCTGGTTTGAATTCACTGTCCATGGCATATGTTAAAAGCTAAGCAGACCTGGCTCTGGCTCAAACTGGTATAGGAGACCAGTCTATGCTGATACTATTCTATTTTATCAGGTTCTGTGGGGAGATTCATTGAGTTGGCAATTGTTTAGCCCTACTCCTGAAAGAGACCATTGGTACATTACCCTTCAGGTGGTGTGATGATGATCTATAACAAGATAAGAATCTCAAACAGATCTGTATGTACATGTGCATACCAATTCACAGTTTAAGGAATGTATCGCTCAGTATATCTTGATTTTATGGACACTATAAGCACTGGAACAACTTCAGCTTATACCCAAATACAGCTGGAATACCACTATTTTGCCTGCTGGGCATTTAGGGACTGCCAGTCCCGGTTAAGGTTTATTCACACAGTATTACGCTGTCTAAAAGGGTTGATGTCTAGGGGTCCTAGGTCTCTCCCTAAGGATTTACAGATATTTAGGGGACTCAGGGGTCCCCATTACTCATAATACGCAACCCAGGATTGGCCTGCTATGTCTGTGCCTATTTGATTGGCCTGCTCTGTCTGTGCCCCTATGATTGGCCTGCTCTGTCTGTGCCACATTGATTGGCCTGCTATGTCTGTGCCCCACTGATTTGCCTGCTAGTTCTGTGCCCATTTGATTGGCCTACTATGTCTGTGCCCTTCTGTCTGGCCTGCTCTACCTGTGCCCATCGGTCTGATCTATCTGTGCCCGAACCCCCTTTAGGCCGCAGGCCTTTGGGAATATAACTGAGGAAAGCTCAGTACCCACTGTTGACATGGAGATCGGTGGGTGTCCAGGCAAGCACTGCTGCCATACTATCCAAGAGGACACCAGGATACGGGCACATAAATATGATTGGAAGGATGAAGGTCCTACAGCTAATGCCCTGAGGGGAAAAGCTTTTATGAAGATTCCCGGGCACGCAACCACGGTTTATGCCAGCCCGGCGGCGGCACATCTCCAAGGGGAATCTCGCACAAGCAGGGACCAGTGCTCAGACATCAACAGGGGAGCACGGTTTCCTTGTCTTCATCAACTAACCCTTTAGCT